CCATCCCTTGATGCAGTTGAAACACGCATTCTTCCTAAAGATACATTTCTGTAGAGAACAAACAGATTAGAATTTAACGAGAATTGAGATCGGAAACATTGTGGTCCTTCACTACTGATCTGAGGTGTTGCAAATTGGCCCTGTAAATTTCAGCTGACCCTGGCTGGCGTCTGGACTTCATCTGATCCCTGAGAAATGAGTCTGTCCCCTGCAGTAGCTGAGTCTCTGCTGCTGTTCCTGTGTGAGTTGGCTGTACTCTCAGGATGCATCACAGAGCTGAGACCTGGTTCTCAGAGGACACTGGGTCCAGACGCAGGTAGTACCAGTGGTGGTTGCAGATAGATATATATATATATATATATATATATATATATATATTTTTTTTTTTTTTTTTTTAAGAAAAAAGAGTTACTGGCATAATGAGAAGTAAATCTCTCAGGTTCTAGAACAGGATTATTTCTTTTCAAGGCCTTGCTTGGCTCAAGATGCCTGCATCGCTTTAGGGAGGAAAGGCGCAGAGCCCTGTGGGAACGTGGCCGCTGGTTCTGGGTGATTCCATATGTACGCAGTGACTGCATTCCTTCTTTCAGGAGATGCGTCTTACTTACCACGTGTCCTTTCATACGCCACACAATGACAGTTGGACAGGGTCCTATCGCCGTTACACATGCTCCTTTTGTGGCCCACAAAGGCATCTTGGAGGTGGTTAAAATGCCAGCCTGTGTCTCGTGTGCACGTGTTGCTTGAGATTGTGGAGGAAAATGTAATGCAAGCCCCAAAGCACAGCACGCTCACAGAACTCTGAAGCGCAAGGGACGTTAGCTCAAAGACGGGGTTACATTCCAATGAAAAGCACACAACACGACCGGGCTGTTCTTGCAAACGCGGCCTGTGGTCCCCACTTCTCCAGGATGGGAGAGTGCCAGGTCCCACTGCCACCGCGCGCTGTCCTCTTGCAGCCGGGGGTGGAAGGGCTCCCGCCCGCCCGCCCGCTGCCACCGCGAGGCTGGTTTTATGGGCGTATTTCCCACACCCTGTGCTGCTATTAAAAATAAAAAATGAGGCACACGTGACATGTCTCTCTCCGACTGCAAGACTCATTTCCTTCTAATAAGCCTCTGCTTTGCCTGGGCTTCCCTTATTCTGGAAAGATTAAATCTCCAGAGGCTAACATTATGGATTTCTAGGTCTGTGCTTTTTTTTTTTTTTCCCCTCCTCTCTCTGCTATTTTGAAAGAAAATGAAGTTAGTGAGCTTTGTCTGCTTCTACAGACGCCACGCCAGTTCCTTACCTGGGAGCCAGGGGCGACATGACAGGCAAACGGAGAGGGACAGCTTCGTCTCACTTACCTGTGGGCCAGAGCGCAATTCACTGTAGCAAACAACCCAAGCGCCCGCCAATCCATAAGTGGATTATTAAAATTTGGTGTACGTATACAATGGAATATTACTCAGTTACAAGAAACGACAGTGATCTAGCACCTCTTGTATTTTCCTGGATAGAGCTTGAGCCCATCCTCCGAAGTGAGGTATCGCAAGAACGGAAGAACAGGCTCCACTCGTACTCGCCATCGAATTGGTACTCACTGATCAACACTAAGGTGCTCACTCAGTAGTAATATTCTCCAGGGTTTAGGAGCTTGCGAATGGGTAAACTCACAACTAGTTGACGTGGTGAGCATTGTAGGGGGGAAAATGTTTGTGGCCCCATAATATCCTGAAATAAATAAATAACAATGAAAATAGAACTGTGAGTGGATTCGTGCCTGCCCTGCCCTGGGCGGGACTGGGGGCGGCCGGCCTGCTTACAGACTGCAGATGGAGCGAACCGTGGGCATTGGAGGGCTCGAAGGAGCAGGCCCCTTCCCAGCGGGGCAGTTCTGGAGTGACTCCCATCTAAGGCCTGACTTGCTAAATCCAGTAGCCCAGGGTGAGGCAGCTCTCCCTGGTCATAGCCCAGGCAGCCAAACGGGGGTCCTAAGGCTCAGCTGTGAAAGCCCCACTTACTTCCAGGCCAACTTCTCAAACACCCCCACTAGACTCCTCTGGGTGTCCAGTGTAAGGATGCAGGTTGAAGTTCCTGAGATCTAGCACTCTAGAACAACCTCAAGAGTTTAGGATTGCATCAGAAGGGATGGGAAGTAGACAAAAGTGCCTTGGGCAGGAGGGGTCCAGCCTGCAGCTGGCTGCCCAGCCACAGACCTGTCATCCCCTGACGTTTTCTGCTGTTGCATGGTCTGTCTGGCCCCAGTCTATTACAGATGCCGGAAGGAGATCCAACCTCACCCATTTTACAGGTGGGAAAATTGAGGCTGAGGGGTTGTGGGGCAGAGCCGGCATGTCCGCCTCGTGGACTGACTCCCCCTTTGGGGGGCCCTGCCTCTGCATCCTCCCGTCCTCTGCGGCTGGGGATCTGGGCTGGGGGCACATGAGGTCTTGCTCTCTACTCGAGTGTCTTTGAGCTCTGTGCACCGTGACCTCAAGCTGAGCAGCGGCTCTTAGCAATTTTCAGGCCACCCGGGACTTGGCAGGAAAACATATGGCCACTGTAGGTAATCTTGGACATATTTTGTTGATAGAAAAAGCCTAAAAATGCAGACAGACTCCTTGACTCAGAATTTGGACTGGACTAAAAATTGGTTTTTGTAGCATCGGTGGAAAGAAAGGGTGGAGAACAGCAGATTAATAGGGCATGTAAGAGAACACAGCCTTCCCATCCTTCTCTTAAACATTTTAATGATGTCCATGGATCCACAGAAATAGGAGCCGGAGGACCTCAGGGGTCCTCGTGGCCAACCCAGCTCATTTCACGCACGAGCAGACCGAGGCGTCCGGGCTTGGCTGCAGACCTAATTAGCTAACGCGCCTGGCCGGGAGCCGAGGGTCCCGCTCACAGGCTGGTCTCCTTCCTGCTGGAGCCCACGTTCAGTCGCAGAAAGCATTCAGCATGCTGGATTACCATCGATAATGAATTTGCTGCTAATGTGTGATCTCTGTCCATTCAGACTCGTCTTCTGCTGGACAGCTACCTGTCTACTGCGCCTCTTACAGTGTATGGGTGGGAAACATAAAGAGGGAAGGAGTGTGGGAAGAGTTGACAGCTCAGAGGAGGAGCCAGTCATGGGGCTTCTAGATGGGGTGTGCCAGGTGTCAAGTGGAAGGAACGGGTGACCTGCCCAACGGTCAGCAGAAAGGGAGAGAACTTGGCTATAGGGAGCAAAGGCATTTGTATGGAATCATGGCCCCTGACTTGGACCTGAAGGATGGATATATGATTTTGGCAGGGAAAGAGGAAGGGAAGATGTTTCAGGCGAAAGTACTGGGTATGATAGCGGAGAAATCTGAAAAACAGCACCCAAAGAGATCAGGTCCTAATCTCTGGAACCTGTAAATGTTGCCTTGGAAAAAAGGTCTTTGAGGATATGATTAAGTGAAGGATCTTGAGCTGGGGAGATTATCCTGGATGATCTGAGTGGCCCCAAATGCCAACACACGGAGGGGGGGAGAGGGCAATTACAGACGGAAGAGCAGAAGGCAGATGTTGGAGCGATGCGGCCGCAAGCCAGGACATGCTGGCAGCCACCAGGGGCTGGGCGAGGCCAAGGGCAGCTTCATTCCTCGAGCCTGCAGAGGGAGCCCAGCTCTGCTGACACCTGGATTTTTATCCAGTGATACCGATTTTGGACTTCTGGCCTCCCAGCCATGAGAGAATAGATTTTTGTTGTTTTAGGTCATCACGTTTGTGGTAGGTAATGTTTTATAGCAGCCACAGCAAACTAATTCCGAGGAAAGAGCAAAGCCTGTTTGGGAAGGGGTGCGCAGTGCAAGGTATCTGCCAAGAGCACTGTGAGCTATTTAGTGAGGTCGCGAGTAAATGGGTTAGGCCATTAGAGCAAGTGTCTTGTATTAGCTTGAAGAGTGGCAGTAAGTTCCTGCATGGGTCTTAGCATCCTGATTGGAGCACAGGGCTGAGGGCGTGAATCATAGCGCCTGGTGGGTCATTTTTATTTCTCTGTATTTATTGGTATTGTACCTAATGGGAAGTCAATACTTGCGGCACAGCACGGTGAGTAATGGCAGCTGCCGTATCTGGGCCTGCACTCGGTTTATTGATGAAAAGTCGAAGCTGCTCTAGGTCTGGTGCCTTCAGATACGACTGATGAACCTGTCATCTTCAAGTTGTGACCTCGAATTCCTGTGCCGTGCATCGCAGGAGTGTGACATGTTAGGAAATGCTCGGCTAACCCAGGACTCACGGCGACAGTGGCTTTGGAGGAGGGGCCTCTGGGTGGAATTCAGAGAAACGCTAGTTTGGGATGAGAGGATGGGGGGGGGGTCCTCCTGCCGAGCAAAGTGGCCCTTGTTGATGGCAGAGTCAACTTCTCCGCCAGCCCCGAGACTAAGTGATTAAAGATGCCTTTTGAGCTTTCATGACACTCCTATTGATCTGAGGTTGTTTATATCCATAAAACACCTGTAAATTAGGGGAATGAAATAAAAACAGCAGGGTACTTAATGTCTGTCCTCCTATGAGGTTGAAAAGCTTTCTGTATGGCTCCCGCAGCAGCAGGGATCTGAGGGATGTCAGCAGAGGCGAATCTCATTCTCCTTTCCTCCTAAGGGCCAAAGTTAAGAGGCAGTTTTCTCCTCGCAGCTGAAACTAGTCCTTATCTGTGCTCGGGAAGTGTCCTTGGCTGACATGGTTTTCTGCTGGGACCATGGTCTAAACTGTGTGCTCGTTACAGTGTTTCAGGATGCTCACCTGCCTCCTTTCTTTCTTTTTATTCTCCCTGTGCTACCCTCCTTTCCTCTCCCCTCAATTTCCTGTTTTTTCTCTTTCTTTTTTCCTTTCTTTTCTTTGTTCTTCATTTGGCTTCTCTCTTGTTTAACATCTCACTATTTGTGAAGCGGTTAGGCGTTATCGGTGGATGATCACCAATAATGTCAACACAGTAAACCCAGCCATGTGACCATTGCACTTTCTTTGCTTTCCCCTTGCAGAAATCCGAGAGGCCTTTCGGGTTCTGGACCGCGATGGGAACGGCTTCATCTCCAAGCAGGAGCTGGGCATGGCCATGCGCTCCTTGGGGTACATGCCCAGCGAGGTGGAGCTGGCCATCATCATGCAGCGCCTGGACATGGACGGTAAGACCCGGAGAGCCGCCTGTCCCCTGAGACCAGCCCCTGTCTCATCAGCGAGACCTTGGGTGTGGGAGGGGCTTTGCACTTTGAGTCAACAAACTTGGATTCATGTCTTGTTTTCCATTGGGGGAGTGGAAACCTACACTAGAATGAAGATGGAGGTCCCACTGGTGGAGCAGTTATAGGGCATCCCCTCTCCCTTGCCTTTTATTAAAAACAAAACACCCAGCTTTATTGAGATAGAATTCACATACTATAAAAGTCACTTATTTAGAGTGTGCAGGTCAGTGGCTTTTAGTAGATTGACAGATACGTGCCACCAGTGCCACAATCAATTTTAGAATGTTTTCTTCACTCCATAAAGAAACCTGCACCTCTTAGCTGTCCTATCCCAATGCTTCTAGCCCCCTTAAGCCTTAGGCAGCCACTTATCTACTTTCTGTTTCTATAGAGTTGCCTTTTCTGGACATTTCATGCAAATGGACTCATGTTAATATGCGATCCTTTGCGACTGGCTTCTCTCACTTAGTACAATGTTTTCAAAATTGTACTGTTGTAGCGTGTGCCACCACTTCGTTTCTTTTTATGGCCAAGTCATATTCCATTGTGCAGACATAATAGCTTCTTTTATGTCTGTTGTTTATATACTGAGCCTCTGCATACAGTCTCAATGGGAAAACGGATTTCATGGTTTTTGAAAAGTTTTGAAAAATGACCGCATTTGATAATCTTTAAGGTTCTGTCCTGCTCTAAGACCCTAAGCTCTATCCCAAACTGGCTGTGACCATTCTGACCTTTAGATCCTGCCTTGGCTGAGGGTCCAGGAAGGAGCCTTCTTATTTTGTTTTGTCAACACACGCTCTCCTCTCCCTGAAAAGAAGCTTGATTCCTGTTAAAAGGGTCCAGGATGGTGGGTTCCAGCACTCTCAGATTGAGCTTGAAGTACAGACCAAGTAATGGGAACCAGAGGAGGGGGACAGAACGTCTCTTTGGAGGACTAGACCAAGGTCATGGTGGGGAGATGTTTGCTTGGCCTGCAGCCTAGTTGCAAGAGCATGGTTCTCTCCTGTTATCTTGCAGGACTTGTTGGGTGGATGATAATAAGGGTGACCATATGGCGAATGAACCCCAGTGCCAAACACCAAGTGCAGCTGTAGACATTTATTTTCTGGTGCAGGACAGAGATGTTCTATCTGGGGTATTCAGTTGTACGAGCAATGCCAGCTTGCCCTTCCCAACTCTGACTGTGACTCACCATGTCTTTGCAGGCCTGATTTGACCTGGCTTTGTATTTTAGAGATATTTCTGAAAAGCTGGAGCAAAGCACCTATTTTATAGCAAAATCTCTCTTCCATTGGCTTCCATCATCATTTCAGAGATAACTTTATGGGGAAAAAGTTTCCTCCTTAAAATAGTAAAAATCTTAACCCCAAAGGTTTGGGCTTTTGATTCTTCTCCTGTAGCTCCTATAATAAAACCTAGTCAAATGCACTAAATGCAAGTGGAATTAGCAACTGTAATAAAAACAAGCTCCACTGTTGTAGAGAGTTATTCCTATAAGTTATTCCCTGTTATATCCAAAAGTTTTTTCCTATAATTGTGAGAGATTCATTTCTGCAATATTTAAGGGTCTTTATCATAGTTCATTCTTGTTCTTTGTATATTCCCCCGTTGGGCCCCAGCTCATGGGGGGATTTTTACATTATTGCAAATCCTCCTTAATCTCATGAGGGCTCATGTGATATTATTCAAGGAGCTGGACAGGACTCAGGCAAGAGCTCCGTTTGGGATGCAGTTTAGGAGATTTCAAGTTTCACCAATTTATTTGCAACTCATCATACTCAGCTACCAATGCTGACGGCAGAACTTCCAAGCAAATCTTGTAGAGAATTTCTATTAGTTCTTTTAACAAAAGCCCATGTCATCAGCTATTTCATGGTGACCCATCAGATAAAAACACATTTACTTATTTTTGAAGTTCAGCTTCCTTGAAGTTTTGTTTTGTTGTCTACAAAAGAATTTGCACAAAGTGTATGAAAACAACGCAACAGTATAGGCAAAAGGAATTGCCTGCACCATTTGTAAAATCCCTAAGTGTGAAAAGAGTTAAGTGAAAAATGCTCAGTCTGAGGTTGAAATGTGAGGCTTTGAAAGTGTTTTGTAAAAGATGCCAAAAAGTGAAATTTCTCGAGTCCCAGATTCTGGATATGGATGGATTGAGTGTTTTCCAGTGTCCTTGTCTTAATGGGGGCTTTTGAGCTGTTCTGTTAAAAAAAAATAAAATCAGGTCCTAATTATATCCTTCCTTCCTCGCTTCTGTAACTGGGGATACTCCACAGAGATCTGGGCCTACCTAATTAAGTTTCTCTTTGGCTTGGAACATGTGAAATGGCAGAGAATTTTATGGGGATGATGCCAAAAAAAAAGAAAGAAAAGGAGTGTTTGGGGCAGGGCTTAGGATTCTTAGCTGTGAGATACCTGGGCCTCCCGGCCACACGCCCTGGTGTCTGGCAGCAGCAGGAGAGGAGATGGCGCGGTCCCCACCCACCCCAGCCGGCCAGGATTAGGAGCAGGTCTGGCCCACACACCAATCTTCTCTTTCTGGGGTCCCCACAAGGTTGCCCGACAGTGAAGTCATACCTTTGGCATGAGGCCCGGCTGGAACTAGCCTGAGTTTGTCTGTACAGCCCAAGTTGACACATGAGGTTTTCATTAGGTGGCTCCTTGGGAGAGGGCTGCCTTGCCGGCTTACCCATGTAACAGTCGCCTCCCTGGATGAGGGATCCCGCCTGGATTTCCTGGGCACAGACCCAGCCAGACAGTTACAGGGGACAGAACGGAAGGCGGGCAGGAGGGTCTGGGATTGCTGGGTGTGGGACAGCAGTGAGACTGACTCTGTGTGTGTGTGTGTGTGTGTGTGTGTGTGTGTGTGTATGCAAGTGCACACGTGTGCCAAGTGGGCTGAGCTACCACTCAGAGTTAAATAAACAAAAACCTCAAACTTCTGCCCAGTGCCTGGAGGCTTCCTCTTTGCTGCATTACTGCTAAGGTTCTTTCCTGGAATTTTAACTTAGTTCTTCATTCCCTTCCCCTTTCTTCAACCTCCGCAGGTAAAGTAGGTTTTAAACTAGCCCCAGTTGGGGACCAGGATTCACCTTTCCTGGGTTTTTTTTTTGCCAGGATCCATCGGTCCCAGTTCTGGAAACCTACAGCTCTTCTCAACGAGGCCACTTGAAACATTTAAGCCCAGTTCCCAATGCATTCATTGCATGTAAGCAATTGACTTCTGTCCCGTGCGTATTAGTTATGTACCCTCCTTGGAAGAACTGATAAAATAGTTACTCAAAAAATTATCTCCAAAGCTGAATTCTTTTATAGAAGAAGCAGGTAGAGAACGGCTGTTTGGAAGTCACCCCGGGCTCGGCCATACTCCATTTGCTCCGTGGTCCCCATGGCAGCTGCTTTGGCTGTTCAGAGCTTCCTGTGTCATTCACCAGGGAATAATGGCTTTGTATTGTCAAGACCCAAGGGATATTTGGGACTGCTTTCTGCATTTTCAGTGGTTTCAGCAACCACATGGCTGGAGCAAATCCGGCTAGCTTTGCAAATAGTTTCCTGAAACAGTTGAACCTGGAGGCGTGGTCAGCAGCCCGGACCATTGCATGCCCCGCTCAGTTCCCGTTGCGACCTCTGCTCTTCCACACTGCCACCTCGTCTCCCCTGCACGCGAGAGCAATTCCCTCTTGGAAACAAAGGGAGACCTGGCCTCTTCCGCCTTTATTTGTCTTCTGCTCCTCAGAGGTGTCGAATCTCCTGCAATTCTAACAAATGTGTTGCAGTTTTGAAATTCATTCTCATTTCTCAACACGTTTGTAGGTTTTTTTTTTTTTCTTTTTTCAGGTTCATTGCTGCCTGGATGGTGAATTTAATTCAGTTCAGGTCAATTTAAAAGGAATTTATCTGGTGTCCATTATGTGTGAACTTGCTTATTTTTGTGGTTAACAAGATTCACTTTTGGTTCATTTTGAGACAAACCGCTGAGCTGCGTAAGAACAAAATCATGGCCCGAGTCACAGGAGAAGATGGTTTGCAGTGTCCCCATTGTTAGCCCGTGTGTCCCCATAGGCCCTCTTTCAACTGCCCATTCGCTGAGAGTGTTCATCCTGTGTTGGTTAGTTATATTCATGTCACTTTTCTGTTTTCACTTGTGATCTCTTACAAGACAGAGAAGGTCTGTGCTCAATTCCAAGCAGCGCTCACTTTCCACTCCTCCTTCAAACGCTTGAGTGTGCTGACTCGAACGCTCTGGAGCTTGGATCAGGTCTATTTTGCGACCCAGTGGTGACAGAATGCACTTCTTTTCCATGCATGGGGGAAGGTGCCCACCCACAGGCCGCATGAAGTGGAGCTAGCTGGCAAGAAGGGAAAGCCGGTGGGGAATTTTAGCCTGAAGCACAGCTTCCCAAATCCAACTGCACATCAGGGAACATCTGGGGAGTGTGTGGAGCAGCACACACAAACACAGACTGGCAGAAACAGAATTCCCAAGGGGAGAGCCCAGGGCCCTGCATCCTTCAACAGTCATGTCAGGTTATTGTGCAGCAATCTGTTGACACAATTAGGGGATCTTTGGGTGAAAGGGAAATCTTTGGCTAAAGAGAAGTCACCCAGCCTGTGGATATTTGTCTGAGCAAGAAGGTCTGAATAGGAGGTAAGTGGCTGAAAGGCTACAAGGAGATTTTCCATTGGAACCCGATGAAGGAAGTAGACGGTCTGTCCTTAGGTGTTCAGTTCCCTCTGCCTCATGCAGGTGGCCCTCAACGTGGCTGTACACGTGGAGGCCACCACGTGTGGTCCAGGCACCAGCAGATCAGCATCGCCTGGGAACTTGTTTAAAATGCTCCATCTCAGGCCACACCCCAGACCTGCTGAATCAGAATTTTTCTTTTAACAAGATTCCCAAGTGATCGATGTACACATTACAACGTGAGAAGCCCAAGTCT